CATCACACGTAACCTACCTGCTGAAAATATATATCTAACTTAATTTACCCCCTTTTAACATATAGGGTTCTCAGAAGTGAAAGTTATCATGACTTGTCATAGTTAACTTTTATAGTGGTGAAAGGAAACTACAACAAATATAATTTTACCATTCTCATTAGCTCCAATAGCAAAAGAAAATAAAACTATGATATTGTTTTCTATACTATACTATACTTTACAAAACAGGAAAAATAAATATTGATTGGTTATGGTGGTCAGAAAAGAGCAAGATGTCAAATTTGCAGTCAATACCTCACAATGTGTTTGAAACACTCGTGTTCAGTATGTTGAAAAAATAAATGTAGTGTGAGCTTGCCTTAACCTAACACTAACATTAGCCTGAAACCTAATCTTGAAATCTGATTGGTTGATAGGGACAACCAATGTTTATCCAACAAGGATGTTTTTTCCAGGAATCACATCCTACTTGGCAAAATCACATTTACTTCTAAGGAAATATTATTCTGCGCAAGTCCCAAATGTGATCTTTGCCCTTGTATGTCAAACATACAGTATGCTTTACCATGTTTTTTTTTTTTTAAGTAAAAGTGTCTAAATATCCTTAAAACAAGATAAATTCACTTGAGAAACAAAATTGTTTAAGATGTTAAGCTTTGTTTTCAGAGAGCATACTACTTGAATTAAGTCATTAGCCAATCAAATTGTTCTTAAGTATAAACAACTAAATATAGTGATGTTTATGCTGAAAACTGAAAACATTTATGGTAAAACCTGCTCTAATATAGAAACAGTCTCTTTCTGAGTTGTTTGTATATTTGACTCTCTGTTGTGTGGCACCCTCTACTGGATAAACCTGAACCAAATCTCTGAGATTTACAGTGACACATGAGACAAACTTAAAATGTAAAACCAAATGACATTTACAGTGGGTACGGAAAGTATTCAGACCCCCTTAAATTTCTCACTCTTTGTTATATTGCAGCCATTTGCTAAAATCATTTAAGTAAATTTTTTTTCCTCATTAATGTACACACAGCACCCCATATTGACAGAAAAACACAGAATTGTTGACATTTTTGCAGATTTATTAAAAAAAAAAAACTGAAATATCACATGGTCCTAAATATTCAGACCCTTTGCTTCAAACCTGCATTAAAGCTTGTGGTGTAATCAGACTCTGTCTCTTAGATGGTCGACCTCCTCTTTCTTCTCTTGATCCTGATTTTTCTGATTCTGCTGGATCTTTTGTGTGGACTTGTGAGGAAAGTCCTAGCAATCTGGGCAAGAAAGTCATAATCAAGATGTGATGATCCCATTTTAAGGTATCTATAGTAAATATTCATGCATGCAGTCACATTTATACCATAATATAAATACGTGTATGTGTTTCGCACTAGTTTTGAGCTTTTGTGCATTCTGTGCAGGTTACACACGTAACTGTTTAAGATCAGCCTGTAAGGCATCAAGAAACACTATCACTTTTAATCGGATTGAATTTTCATTTGGTTCGAGTTCAATCAGATCGAATGAGATGTTTGCATAAAGGCTTTTTCTGCCTGAATAAGCCATAAATTTTATTTCTAATGTATTATTTGCATATTGATTGTGTTTGATCATAGACACTTCTGGGTTCATAAACGTGGAATGTACTATAGATAGATATGCCCCTGCTTCCACAAGGTTTTTACCTAGACATCAAATTTCAGCTTTTGACTAAACACTGATAAGCCAAAACATTTTGACCTGTGAAGCAAATATTGCAGTGAAACAATCAGCTCTCATAATCAACATGTTAGATGCAAGAGAAATGAGCAGAAATAAAAATCTGAACCACTTTGACAGGGGCCAAACTGTTATGGCAAGGCTTCTGGTTCACAATATCTCTGAAACAATAAGTCTTGTGGGTCGCTCCAGGTCAGCAGTGGTGAGAATTTACCAACAGTGGTCCGAGGTGGGACAAACCAGCAACAGGATGTTGGGCTCTTAAGACTCATCGCTGCATGAGGGCAACTAAAGCTATCTAGTCTGAGCCAACAGAAGGTCTACTGTAGCACAAGTCACACAAAATTTTAAAGGGGGGGGGGTACAATGCTGTTTCATGCATTCAGAGTTGTTTACAGTGTTAAAGAGTTGGATTCTCATGCTAAGCATGGACAAAGTTTCAAAAAACAATTTGGACGTATGACGGAGTATTTCTGTGCCAAAAATCTTACTTCCGGGTT